CCTGTGTGTGTGTGTGTGTGTGTGTGCGTGCGTATGTATGGGCGTCGGTGTGTGTGTGTGTGTGTGTGTGTGCATGTGTGTATAAATAAAACATTACTGAATCCTTCCACAATTCCAGGTGGAAAAAAGCCATTAGGCACTGAAGGATGACAAGGGAGCTAAAGAGGAAGGAGACTGAAGCCTCTCTGAAGAAATAACAGTGGATGGCCATCCCAAATAAACTAACAGTTTAGAAGAATCCTCCACTGGTATTTTGTGTATAGTGCATTCCTGAAATGAGGCAGTTTGGGTATGAGTAAGTGAACCATTTTTTTTTTTAAATCAGGGAAATGCTCCCTGATTTTATTTGTTCTTGGCTGAGACATAGGCTAATAATTTTAGGTGAGATTTCTTGTAATGCACTTTAATCAATACAAGTATTAGTGACTGTTCAACAAATAACTCATACAATATATTCCACCAACAAGTCTAGTTAAAGCTCTGGTTTCAGTAAAGTCTTCTGTGGGCAAGAACAATGTATGTGTCTGCTTTCACTCAGAAAAAGGACTGCCCACCGTTTCAAGATGTACAGTACAGACTTTTCTGGTAAATCAGTAGTCACAATCGGTATTGTCTGAAACAAAAAATACACCCTAAGATAGACGTTCATTTGTAGGACAGAAATTCTTCCTAACAATGATAGTTGTAATTTCTCCCATCTTAACATACCGTTCTTAATTTTGTTCCATGTCTTAACATAATTATTCTGGAACAGCATACAGTTCATATTTGTCAGATTAACACCCAAATATTTTATCTTTTTCTCAATCTTAAAACCTGCTTTATTCATCAATTCTATTTGGTCTTGTATCTTCATGTTTTTTGTTTGTTAACATTAAATTCAGCTAGTGCACCAATTTCTTTTAATTTTCTCATTAATATCTCTATCCCTTTCAGAGGATCTTTTAAAACCAGCACTAAATCATCTGCAAAAGTTCTCAGTTTATACGTCCATATCTTCTAAAACTTTAAACAGGAAAGGCCAATTAAGATTGTCAAAAACTTTCTCTGCATCCCAAAAAACAGTGCAGCTTGTTTTTCATTGTGCTGTTCCAGATATTCTATGATGTCTGGTACTCTTCTAACATTATCTTTTAATTGTCTCTTAGGCAAAAATCCACACTGACCTTCATGAACAAAACCTTGTAAAATCATTTTTAATCTATTTGCCAAAATCGTTGTAAATAACTAATAGTCATCATTTAGTCATGGTATTGGTGTATAATTTTTGGTTAAGTTTAAGTCCTGTCCCTCTTTGATGTATTGAAGTAATACTTGCTTCTTTCCAAGACTGTGGCATCCCATCTCCTTGTAAAATAGAATTCATTGTATTTTGAAGTGGCTGTAAAATTTCATTTTCAAAACATTTATAGTAAGACTTTGGTAATCCATCTGGCCTGGGTGCTTTTCCTAGTTTAATCTTTTTTATAGCTTCCGAAATTTCCATTATTGTTATAGGTCCATTCATTATCTGTCTTTGTGCATCTGTAAGCTGTGGTAAGTTTTGCAAGTTTAGAAAACCATCTATTCTTTCCAGAGAAGTATCCTATCTTTTATACTAATTGGAATCATAGTGATGAAATGCTTTTTGTAAAACCAAATTAACTGTTAGAACCATATTTCCTCCTTGGAGTTTTAATATCATCCTCTTTTCTTTCTCCTTCCTTAACTTATAGACTAGACACTTTCCTGGTTTGTTTGCAAATTCAAAATTCCTTTGTTTTACATAATTCATTTTAGTTTCAATTTCTCTTACTGTCAACTTAGACAGCTGTTGCTGTAATAATTTAGTTTGATATAAAATGTTAGTCTTTCTTGGTGATTTCTTTCATTCTTCTTTTCTCTTAATCTCCTGTTAAATAGCTTGTGTTTTAATTTGTGCTTTTTTTCAATTCAGTATTTTATTGAATAAAGTAGCCTCTAATAAAAGCTTTACTTGTATCCCAAACTGTTTTTAAATCCATGCCTTTATTTAAATTATCCTCAAAAAATTATAACAATTGTTTTGCAATCTTTTACTATCCCGTCTTTTGTAGTAACTTCTCCTTTAATCTCCATCTGAAGGTAGTAGGCTTCTTTTTAAAACTTAGAATCACTGGGTTATGATCAGAAAAAGAAAACGGTTTTGATAAAATCTAATTCTAGATGGTTCTAACTCTACATAGTTGTCTTATTAGCCAAGTTTTTTGAAGTTCATATCATATCTATTCTTGACAATGATCTATGTCTTTCAGAAAAGTAGGTATGTTGTCTAGAATTGCCATTTTTTTCTCTTTTTGTCTTCAGATATCCACTAAAGTTAATTATCCATCAAATCAAAAAAGGTCGTCGGTATCTTATCTTGGGTAGTTTTAATTTTCTTCTTAGATGCTAGTTGTGGAGAAACCACACCATTCCAATCTCCCATCAAAATCCTATTCTCATATGTAAACTTCTGTAAGTCTTTTATAAACACTTGTTTATCTTCATTTGGAGCATAAAGTCCCAGTAATAGAGTTTTAAGTCCATGTCGTTCAATTTCCACCCCCACAAATCTGCCTTGTTAATCAGTCATTATTGGTTGTAGCTTTAAATGGGATTAATATATAATACAACTCCACTAGTGGTTTTTTTTGGTCCTGCTGAAAGAAATTCTTCTCCTAAATGTTTACATATTAAGTACTTTGCATCTCTGTTTCTTATATGAGTCTCTTGCAAAAAACTACATCTTGTTTCAGTTTTTTCAAATACTCTACATCTTGTTTCAGTTTTTTCAAATACTCTACATCTTGTTTCAGTTTTTTCAAATACTCTACATCTTGTTTCAGTTTTTTCAAATACTGAAGTACATTTCTGTGTCTGTGAGGGGAATTAGCCCCATTATCATTTCATGTTAGGCACTTACAATCCATCTTTAAGCAAATAACTAGAAAAGTCCATACCAGTAGCACCTAACTCCAAATCTTCCCTCTCTAAATCCTCCCCCATCAGAAATCTTGGTTTGTTTTCTCTGCAATTTCCATTTGGACCTCTTCCAAATCCCGCTTAATCTTTTGCAAACATTCTTTAGCCTTTTGAATAGTATTCATTCAAAATCTTCTCTGTTGAAAAGTAAAAGTTACACCTTCCAGCTTCTGCCAATGGAATGGAATCTTCTCTAATACCTCCATCAGGAAAGGGTAGTATTTTCTTTACCGCAAAATTCTAATAGGGATTTCTTTCAGAATAATTATATCTATATTATCAATTTTCAATCTTGATTTAAAATGTTGTTGCAGAACTTGATCTCTTGTCCTCCTCCTAACAAAATGTACTATAACATCACTTGGCACATGTTTTATTGTAGCAAAACAAGAATTAATCCAGTAGACTTTATCAATTTCCTCTCCTTTCTCTTCTTCTTCGCAGTCTAAAATTTCCACCAAGAGTTGAATCCTCTTTCTCTTAATATTATCATTTGGATTCTCTGGGAAGGCTCTAAATCACAGACAGAACTCTTTCTCTCTCAATTCCAGCAAAGCTAAATTATCCATCCCTCTTTCAAATTCTGAGTCTCTGATTGCTGATTTATTCTCTAGAATTTCCATCCTATCATTAGTTTGTTTAATTTCTTCAGACATCTGTTTCATATCTATAGTCACTTGTTTTACAAAACTATTCATCTTATCCATTTTTTATTCAAACTTTTTTTCAAAAGT